TTCAAGATCGCAGTTTGTAAAAGGCCGAAATTTTGCGGAACCTAGCCTAGATCTCGTTCATAGTACTCTTCTGACATGTCCTACTCGTAATAGATCGACAAATATACAAAAAAAAAAGAAAAAAAAAAGGAAGTAGTCCTCTTTTATTTTTTATTTTATTTTTTATCTGTTGATTAGGGCCGGAGGAAAGTATTGTTGGGTTGGTTGCCTACCTACGTGTTCCCTCCCACCCACCCCTTTGCATGCATTTCCGGGTTGGTACAGTGCCACGTAAGCAGTGCCACATCAGCAGTGCCACGTCAGACAGTGCAATGTCAGCAGTGCCACGTCAGCAGTGCCACGTCAGACAGTGCCACGTCAGCAGTGCCACATCAGACACAGTGACATGTAAGCAGTGCCACGTCAGCAGTGCCACGTCCGCAGTGCCACGTCCGCAGTGCCACGTCCGCAGTGCCACGTCCGCAGTGCCATGTCAGCAGTGCCACGTCAGACAGTGCCACATAAGCAGTGCCACGTCAGACACAGTGACACGTCAGCAGTGCCACGTCAGACAGTGCCACGCCAGCAACATGACAGGCCTGCCAGGCCAACTGGCCAATGAGCCCATTGCCGACTACAAAAAGCGCTTCCAGGCTCAGCTCGTTGTAATCGAGGCTGAGGAACAACGCCAGCTGACAGCCAAGGCTTCCCAGCTACAGGCTGACGAAGCGGCAGCAGCAGAGAAGCTCCGGCTACAGGCCGAAGCAGACGCAGAGGCCCAGGCTCTCCGCAAGGAAGCCCAGGACCTGCTGCAGCGGCATGAAGCAGCCAGCGTCGACAGACTCAAATTCTGGCACTTTGAACCCAACGGCGACGACGCGACACCGGAAGAGCAGCATAAGGAGTTTCTCTCCAAACTCGTGACACGGCTGTTGTACACTTGCAACTACCAACAGTCCGAGTTGGAGTAATAGTACCAGGACCTGACGCAACAGCATCAGGAGTTGGCGAAGCTCCGCCGCACAGTGCAGAGCCACGAGGATGCAACTCGGGCACTCAATGCCCGAATGCTGGACCTGGAACAAGCTGTACCAGGACCAGCTGCTGGGGCTTCCAGCAGTGCAACCTCTAGCCGCCAACTGGAGGAACGCGTTGACCACGTAGTGGAAATGCTCGGCGACATCAGCACCTTCGTTGCGCCGACCACCATCAACAGTCAGCTACATACCTTGAAGACCGAGGTCCAGCAGTTGCAGTCGACGAACGCGGATGACAATCTGAAGATGTACAAGATGCCAACTTTCCAACTGGACAAGTTCGACGACTACACACAGCAGGATCCGGTCCTCTGGGGGAAGCATTCACAACGCAACTCAGGATTCTACCCGTCGCCAAGCACGCGTACATCGGCGCCCTGTTCCTGAACTCAAAGGGCGGATGCCAGACCTGGTTGAGCCACCTGGCAACCTCCCACGGCGTCGACGTACTAGACTTGAAGGACAAAATCACATGGGAGGAACTGACACGGCTGTGGAAGAAGCGGTTCATCGTCGACGACGCGCCGACACTCGCCATCAACCGTCTGTTCACCATGTCACAGGGCAACACTGCAACACGGGATTGGCTCACGGAGTGGCTGAAGATTGCGGTGGTGCCCAATCTGGAGTTGGCATTCACGCATCTACGCCGTGAGTTCTACAACAGGTCCTGTGCGGCATTGAGCCAGGCTCATGGTGATTGCGAGCAGTACTCAACCTTCGCTGAAATCATTGACAAGGCGAGGGAAATCATCAAGACCAACAGGTCAGCTGCACACGAGAAGTCAACATGGCAGCCGACCTATGTGGAGAGGGTACGAACTGGTCCGCGACAGCAGCACTTCGCTGCAGTCCAGTCGGACAGTGGAGATAACCCAGCAGCCACTCCAGCATCAAGTGACGGAGATCAAGTGGCTGCTGTCCAGCCGCGAAGCAACAACAAGTCCCGCAACATTGGGAAGGCGAAATCCGCATCGCAGGCCGGAAATGGACAGCCAGTACAAGTTCCATGGGTCAAGTTCGGCCTGACCGAGGCGGAATACAAGGTCCGCAGCCGCTACGGCAGCTCCTATTGGTGCAACAGCACCAAGCACAAGACCTCCCTGTGCCAGGATCAGGGCAAGGAGGATGTGCGACCCCGCCTCAGCTCGGGAAACTGAGCTCCGCGGAAGGTGAGGCGACTCCACCTTCTACTCCGCCAGATTCGGCCGCCTTGCTAGCGGCCTCCTGCACATCTGGGGAGAACGCGAATGTCGCAAGTTCTCATTACACTTACGAGGACTATGCTGTCCACTTGGTTCCACCGCTGGACCAACCGCTCCACGTGCAACAATCCATCGCATGCACGGTTTCATCAACATCGGCAACCGATTCGGCACCTTCACCGCAACCTATCGCCGGGGATTCGACGTCATGGTCAAGACTTGAAGAGCTCGACCCATTGACGTTCACGGACTTCCAGTGGATGCCCGTTCCCTCGACCGGACGATTGCCGAAACCGCATTGCAATGTGCTCATGGCACAACTGCGGGATTACTTGCACACTGCAGTACCAGCTCCGTTGATGGACGCCGGAGTAGAGGTTGTCGACCTTCACGCTTACGTTGCGAAGATCGACCTCGAGTTCAAGACGCAACGGTACGATGACATCGACGCACCATTGCTATATGTACGCATTCAGATCGGAGAGGCGACCTGCAACGCCTTGATCGATTGCGGAGCATCTCGCAACTACATCAGCCAGGACGTCATGGTGCGCACCGGCCTTGGCCCACGCGTCCGGAGGAAGTCCCAGCCGATGCAAGTCACGTTGGCGGACGGTCACACGCACAAGTCCATCGACCGGTGCATTGACAACGTCCCAGTGTACTTTGCCCCTCACGCAAGTGAGGCGGTGTCCTTTGACATTCTGGACACCAAATTTGATATGATCTTGGGCATGTCATGGCTGCGAAGCGAGGATCACCCGGTGAACTTCTTCCACCGCACCGTTCACATTCATGATCGGAACGGAGTACTAGTTCCATGCACGGTGCCTCTTCCTCATCCTTCGATCAGCTGCCACGTGGTATCCGCCGCAAGCATGCGAGCTTCCATCATCAGAGACGACATCGAGGAGATGGGGGTGTGTTTTCTCCACGCCCTCCCGCCCCATGACGCTTCATCGACGGACTCACCTTCGGATCCACGCATCACCGAGCTTCTCGACGCCTACAGCAACGTGTTCGAAGGCCCGCACGGAATAGTACCGGATCGACCCATCCGCCACGAGATTATCCTCGAGGACGGGGCCGTACCTCCGCGCGGTTGCATCTACCGAATGAGCGAGGAAGAGTTAAGTGTGCTCCGGGCACAACTCGACGACCTTCTGGAGAAAGGCTGGATTCGGCCTAGCTCATCGCCATACAGTGCTCCAATTCTCTTCGTTCGGAAAAAGAACAAGGATTTGTGATTGTGCATCGATTATCGCAAGCTCAACGCGCAGACGATCAAAAACGCCGGCCCTCTCCCACGCATCGACGACCTTCTCGAGCGATTGGGCGGCGCCCAGTTCTTCTCTAAGTTGGATCTCAAGTCAGGGTATCACCAACTCGAGATTCGCATGGAGGATCGCTACAAGGCCACGTTCAAGACGCGATATGGGCATTTCGAATGGCTGGTTATGCCATTCGGCCTTACGAATGCCCCGACCACTTTCCAAGCGGCTATGACAACGGAGTTCCGACACATGCTGGATCGATACGTACTTATCTACCTTGACGACATTCTGGTGTACAGCCGGAGTTTGGAGGAGCATGTAGAACACCTGCGCACCGTTTTGGAGCGGCTACGACAAGCCAAGTACAAAGCCAACCGCGACAAGTGCGAATTCACGCGGCAGGAGCTGGAGTACTTGGGCCATTATGTGACGCCGCAAGGCATCCGKCCRCTTGCGGACAAGATCGAGGCCCTACGAGTATGGCCCGAGCCCACCAACACCACGGACGTTCGTTCATTCATGGGATTGGCGGGCTACTATCAGCGATTTATCACCGGATACTCAAGGATTGCTGCACCTATGACGAGGTTACAGTCGCCAAAGGTGCCATTCGTATTCGATGACGACGCACGAGGTCATTCCAAGCACTTAAGACGACCATGCTCATGGCACCCGTCCTAAGCATCTATGACCCCACCTTGCCGACGAGAGTGACTACGGACGCTTCCGGCTATGGCATTGGGGCAGTCTTGGAACAGCACGACGGCGACGACCGGCACCCTATGGAGCATTTCAGCCACAAAGTGCCTCCCATCAACTCGCTTGATGATGCAGGGAAGAAGGAGCTACTCGCGTTCGTCATGGCTCTCAAGCGATGGCGGCACTTCCTCCTTGGGTGTCGTAGGTTCACATGGGTTACGGACAACAATCCATTGACCTACTACAAGACGCAAGATATGGTGAGCAGCACTATCGGACAGTGGATGTACTTCATCGACCAATTTGACTTCACACCGAAACATCTTCCCGGCCTCTCCAATCGCGCAGCAGATGCACTCTCGCGAAGACCTGATCTTTGCGCTATGACTCATCATGCCTTCGCATTCGACGAGGAGTTTCAGCGACACTTCATCCGGGCATATCAGTCTGATCCGGACTTCGGCACGCTCTATGCACCACTATCTTCGGATCACCCGTCGGCCAGCCATTACCGCATTGCCGACGGGTACTTGCTCCTCCACTCGAGAGGCAAGGACTTACTATGTGTCCCACGCGACCGTCGTCTTCGGACTCGCCTCCTCGGCGAGTACCATGATTCACGACTCGCCGGCCATTTCGGAGTCAACCGCACTATTGCACGACTTCGACAGCGATTCCGATGGCCCGACCTCATTACCGATGTCACT